CAGAGGAGCCTGGCGGGCTACAGTCCGTAGGGTCACTAAAGAGTCAGACACCACTTAGTAACTAAACCAGCACCACCACCATTTTCACTGAAAAAGAAGATGCCTGAAAAAGAGCAACAGCTTCTTCCCATCTTGTGTCCTGCCCGTGGCTGGAGTCTCTGCTTCTCTCTGGGCTGACACCCCAGTTCCCAGACGGGCCAGGCCAGCCCCTGGGCAGTGCCCGGTCCCATGGCCTCTCATCTCCCGCAGGAGCCCTCCTGCAGCTTTCCTGACCATCAGTGCCCCCCTGCCGCTGTCCCCTGCCTGCTGAATCACTCCCATCCACATACTACCAAACAGTAATATCTTTTTTTTAAAATAAATAAAACCTCTGCCTCTAGATCTCATTTCTCCGCCTTCTCCCCACCCTCTCACCCAATAGGACAAACTCCTTCAGAAGGCCACTCACACTCCCTGGACCCACAGCCAGCTCCCCAGTGCACCTGGGGGTCTCTGGGGCTGAGTGCTGCCCCTGGGGAGGGGTCTTCTGGGGGCAGCAGCCCCTCCCACCCCTGCCCATTCCAGCCGTTCCTCCCGCTGTTAGCTGGGAGTTCTAAGCTCCAGGGTCACTGCTGCCACCGACTCTGGGACAGCCAGCCCACTGGGAGCTGCGATCTCCTTGCTGACCCACCACTTGCCCTCAGAGCCGCCTCCCAGGAGGGCAGCGCGTGTCTGTCTTCTTGCCCCTGCACCCCCAGCAGCTTGCCCCGTCTGCTCTCCATCAGCGTTCGCAGAGTTTGTTAGGAAGGAGCAGGTGCTCTGAGGGTCCCTGACCCGGATCAGGCAGGGGAAGTGGGGTGGGGGCCTGCCCCCTGTGTGCATTTTCCCCCCACCTCCCCGCTCAGCAGCGGGGAGGATGTGGTCCTGGGAAAGCAGCCCAACCCAGCTCATGTAGTGCGGTTTGAATGGAAGTGTGTTCACGGAGCCCCCTAGGCGGGCGGCATGGAGGAGGGGTCCCGCTGGCTGGGGAGGGGCTGGGGTGGTGGGATCTGAGCCCTCTTCACCTGGCCTCTCCCAGCCGCCCCTTGGACCTCAGAACCTCTCAGCCCCACCCACGCTCCGAGCCCCCATCTTGTTAGTCACCCCCACCCCTGTTCCACCACCACGCCCGGCAGGCGGGGGCAATTGTCTGATTGTGTATTTTCCCCTCTGCCAATCGACTGTGAGTTCTGTGAGGATGGGCTCTGTCCATCAGTCACTGCTGTGGATGGGCTCCGCTTGTGCACTTGTGTACACTTAAATACACGCGTGTGCATGTGTGTGTGTATGCACACGTGCTGTGTATATGTCTACGCTTACCTCTGTATCTTTACTCTGTCTACATGTATACACGCTATTACATATATATACATGCCTATATATGTGCTATATTGGGCTTCCCTGGAGGCTCAGATGGTAAAGAATCTGCCTACAACGCAGAAGACCTGCATCCTGGATCTCTGGATCAGGAAGATCCCCTGGAGAAGGGAATGGCGACCCACTCCAGTATTCTTGCCTGAAGAATTCCATGGACAGAGGAGCCTGGCAGGTTACATGCAGTCTATGGGGTCGCAAGAGTCAGACACGACTGAGTGACTAAGCGCACACACACATATATCATATATATATAAACTGTGTGTGTTATATGTAGGCCTAGGTTTTGTGTGCATATACACGTATATATGCTATTGTATACGTGCAGTACACAGTATAAACTTGATAAAAGTTATTTAAACTTCTGTTGAACCTCTAGGAAAGACTTCTGACTGCAGCCACAGGGAATCTGTGGAGGCTGGTGTCTATGTGATGTGGTACCATCTGCTACCCTGGATACAAAGAAACCTGGGAGAAAACTTAATCCTCTCCCTTTCGCCCAAATAGAATACAGAGCTGAAAGATGGAGGACAGGAAGGGAAATCTCCAGGTGCCCCAGGAGACTTGCAACTAGAGCCGATGCCCACGATACAGTCGATGGATAGAGGCTCTGGGGGCAGAGGTTAGGCGTGGCTGGGGCAAGGAAGGGGAGAGGGGCTAAAGGTTAGCCTTGGAGCTGCGTAAGTAGAAGAAACAACTTGATCAGGGGACCTCCATGAGGCCAGAACCTGGGAGGACGCTGCTGCTTAACAAAAGCAAAGTTTACCCAGATGCGGTCAGCACCTTCTTTCTACCTAAGGTTCAGCAGGGGGCAGGCAGTGAGTAGAGCTGGGCACCAATTTGAGTAACCAAGCCCCAAATTGTTACCATTTACAGGCAGAGAATCTGAATTTACACCAAATCTCCAAGCCAAGAAATCCAGCAAAAACCAGATCTTGGACCAGAGAAATCCTTTGCAAGCCCAACAAAAGCCAACGCCAAACATCTGGGCAGCAAAAGTTTGGCAACCCAGGGGGTCTCCCATGAGAAGTCACAGCATCCCTGTAGAATAAAATCTGTAATTACAAAGCACATGTGGGACAAATAGGGAGATTAGGAAACGTTCATTAAAAAATGGTATCAGATCAAATAGACTTTAAGACTAAAAAAGTCATAAGGATGCAGAGGGTCATTACATAAAAGGTACAATTCACCAGGATAATATAATAATCTTGGATTTACATATACTTAACATTTCAAAACAGGTAAAGAAAAGAGACAAATGACAAAACTACAATCATAATAGGTTAATATTTGTAGAAGATAAATCAATTGGGATACAGATCATTTAAACAATGCAATTTTGAGAGCTTTATCAAATGAGCATATAAAGTACTAAACTAAATGAGTAAACAAAACTGGCCATGCTACCAAATGAGTCTCAACAAATATCAAATAACTGACCACATTATCTGACCATGATATTAGAAATTAGTATCAAAAGATAGTCAAAGTATGCATTGTAAAATGTATTTCTAAATAATTCATGGAAACTTAAATTTTAAATGTTTTAAATTGCAAAATATTGAGACATTAACAACAATGAAAACACTACGTAAGTCATGAAACATCTAAGGACATACTCACTAGCATGTTTATAACCCTGGATATCTGTTAGAAAAAGAACAATATTTGAAAATTAATAACCAAAGAATTCAACACAAGCTGAAAAAAATCACAAGGTAAATACAAAGAAAGTGGAAGAAATAAAAGGATAAACTAAGGGAATGGGAAGAAAAGAAACGACAGAGTTGATTTGTTTTTAAATAGTTCCCAAAAACAGACCTCTGGCAAACTGATAAAGAAAAAAAGAACAAGTCACTAATTTTAAATGGTGAATAGAATTAAGGTTTTTAAAAATACTGAAAGATTACTGTGAAAAGTATTATATCAATAAATGTGGAACCAGAAACTATGAACAATTTTCTAGAAAAATAACATAACTTACCCTAACTCAAGAAGAGCTTAAAAATCTAAATAAACCTAAAACATTAAATAAATTGTAGTTGTAGTTTTTTTTTTCTAAAGCCATGTGTATCCACTAACACTCATATAAAAATCACCAGACCAGATGGTTTTACCTTCTGCCAAATCTTCAAAGAAGGATAAACCTTACATGATACAAATTGTTCTAGAGGGTAGAGAAAAAGAGCTCTTTCTCCAAGTCATTTTATGAAGCCTGTATAATCTTACTTCTTTGAAATAAAAAGCAGACAAGGATAGTACCAGAAGGGAAAATTACGGGCCAATTTTACTTATGAACATGGGTGAAAATTTTCTAAGTAAAATGAGAGCACCAAGAAGGGGGAAAAAAATTTAAAAAACAGAGCAAAGTAGAAATGGTTTATCCTAGAAACATAAGGATGAGTGAACACCAGAAAATGTATCAATACATATTCACCACATAGACTAAAGGAGAAAAAAAGAGAAAATTATTAAGTACATATCACAGAAAAAATTGTGGTATATTCCATCACTCATTTACAAAAAAAAAAAAAAAAAAAACTTTTCAACACCTAGAGGAGAACTTTCTCACCTTGGAAAAAGATAGTACCAAAAACATAGAACAAACATCATATCTAATGGGAGAAACTTTAGACACATTATCCTTAAGATTAGGAAGAAGTGAAGTGTGCCTGATTCCAGTCTTTGTTAAACATAATACTAGGTGTCTGGGCTATGCTATAAGACATGAAAAAACATTAGAGGTATGAGGAGAGATGCATAGACAATCAAAATATTCAACCAAGTGATAAGTATGATGAACTAAATGAGGTCATTTGTCTGATTAATAAAAAATTAGTATCACCCCAGTTTTCTGCCTGGAGCTCCTCTCTGGAAAGCGGTACAGGATGTGGGGAAAACCAGACAGAGCGTGGTGGTCATGCTGAGTTAAAGACACAGAAGTCAGACTTTGGGGAGATAGAAGCGGCTGCAATTTGTGAGATGGGAGTACCAGAGAGAAGAAAACCAGCTACTTGGAGAAAGAACTCCCCAAATCCCCTTGAGTCCTTAGCTAAAAACTTGACTGGGGAAAGTAGGATGAAGCCCCACGAACCTGGCAGCTATCAGGTGAAACTCTCAGGGATCACACAGAACCAAGTATTCTTTAGTTTTTGTTGCTGTTGTTGTTTTTCTCTATCAAAAGCAGTATTTATTTTCTCCCAAACTTTAAACTTTGTATTTTGTATTGGGATATAACTGATTAACATTGCTGTGGTAGTTTCAGGTAAATAGCGAAGAGACTCAGCTAGCCATGTATACTTCAAAAACAATAACAGTGTGTTAATGTTGTAGAGACAGACAAACCAATCACAGAGAACAGAGAGCACAAAAACAGCCCCATTGGTAAATAGGGATATCCTAAAAACATATTGCTGAGTTAAAAAAAAAAAAAAAACAGCACAGATTCTAAATCACAGCATTTGTGTAAATTAAAAATACTTATGGGAAGCCATCTGTTCCCAAAGATAGTCAGATGTCCAAGGATGTAGATTAAACAGGTTAGGACAGATGTGAGTTGGGGGAGGGGAGGGGAGGGTGGAATGAAGGGGGAAACAGAAATAAAGGATTGTATTTGTTTTTCAATGGCTGGATGATCCTGGTGTGCCATAAAGTCAGCATATAATTAAACTATTCTTTGTACCTGGAGGTCCAGTTTAAAAAACTTTAATTCACAGACTTTGAAGATTATGTGTGAAAAAAAATGACACTATCAATAGATGTAGAAGAGCCTTTGATAAAACTCAATTTATCTCTTCAGGATGAAAAAGAACCTAAACTCAAGATAGAAGAGACCCTTTTAGCTTGACAAAAGGCATCTCTAACAACTCTGAGTCTGCAATGGTGGACAAGCCGTCAGATCCAGGCAGGGTGGGAGGCACTGTGAGCAACTGTTGTCTATTGCAAAAAGAAAATTGGGGTACGGGGCTCCAAGCAAAGCAAAATCTCACACTGGTCCATCTCCCTTCCACAGGATGAACGAAACTCTGCTCTGGGCCGCGGGGTGGTTCGGGGCCCAGGGCCCGGGCCAGGTAGATGGTGAGAGCAGCCCCGAGAGGAAGGAGCTGGGCACCGCCCGCTGGGTGCTGAGCGCGATGGTCCTGTTCACCTGCGCGGGTGGCGTTGTGGGCAATGGCCTGGTGGTCTGGCTGCTGGGCTCCCAGGGGCAGAGGAGCCCCTTTAGTGTCTATGTCCTCCACCTGGGCGTGGCGGACCTCCTCTTCCTCCTCTGCATGGCCTCCAAGGTCATCCTGAATTGCTTCCGGCTGGGTGTCACAGGCCACATGGCCCTGGAGATGGTGAGCAGGGGAAAGTACTTCACCTACACGGCCGGCCTGAGCCTGCTGACCGCCATCAGCATGCAGCGCTGCCTCTCCGTCCTCTTCCCCATCTGGTACAAGTGTCACCGGCCCGAGCACCTGTCGGCCGTGGTGTGCGCGCTGCTCTGGGCGCTGTCCCTCCTGCTCAACACACTGGCCGCGTTCTTCTGCAGTAAATTCTGGGGCTGGGACAAGCGGCACTGCTTCACGATTAACTTGGTCATCAGCATCCTCCTCGTGGGGGTCTTCACGCCCCTGATGGCCGGGTCCAGCCTCATCCTCTGCGTGCGGGTGCAGAGGAGCTCCACGGAGACCCGGCGGCGGCCCACGCGGCTGTACGCGACCATCCTGGCCTGCGTCCTGGTGTTCCTCGTCTTCGCCCTGCCCCTCGGCATCCACTGGTTCTTCATCTGCTGGCTGGACCTGCCCCAGTGGACGAAGAGTCTCTCCGGCCTACTTGCCCGCCTCTTCTCGGCCTTGAGCAGCAGCGCGAACCCTGTCATCTACTTCCTGGTGGGCAGGCGGAAGAGGCGCGGTCTACGGGAGCCCCTGGGGGCCGTGCTGCGCAGGGCGCTGAGGGAGGAGCCGGAGCTGGAGGCGAGGGAGACGGCCTCCATCACCGCCACCACCGACCCGGGGGCCGGAGAGCCCCGCACCGTGGACACCCGCCTGCGCAGCTGGGAGCCCAGAAGGCTCTTTGCATCCCATCCTGTGGGGGTCTCTTTCCCGCCCTCCAAGGCTCCCCACTGACTGTCATGGCCAAGACCTCACCATGCGACTCAGTTGAGAAGAGGAAGTAATTTGGTTGCTGTTGTTGTTAAGGGAGGATCTTCTGATCAGAAGGCAGGTGGGAGCTTTCAGCCCTGGTCTGTCTGACGCTATTTATCTAAATAGCCTCTACAGGTAGGTAGCACGCATCCCATTGCGTGAGACTGTCCATTCTCCCAGCCTTCTCCCTCCAAGAGGGCATCTTGGTACAGGAAGTAGGATGTAATTCGTGTGACTTCGCGACCCCTCGCTGGTCCTTGGGCATGTGCAGCTGGCCCCAGGGTGATGCCCCCGGTCCACTTCCCGCTGGGTGTCCCGCTGACCCCCTCCATTCCAGCAGGCTGCAGCCTGTCAACTGAGTTGCCACTGCTGACCGCCGATCATGAAGTGGCCCTGTCCTCCATGTGGCCAGTACCTGACCGCTGCCCTTTGTCTTCTGGTCACCTTGCCCCCTCGGCGGGTCTGATCGCTTTCCTCCATGAGGCCGCACCGGCGCTGGAGAGCCCCTGCCCGGCCTCATGGGAGTTGAGGGGACAGTTGTTGAGGGGACTGTGCCCCAGGAGCAGGGAGGCAGCTGGAGACAGCTGCCTCTCAGAGCCCCATGTGCCCAGTAGAAGGAAAGTCTGTACCCTGATTGCACCCCTCAACTTGCCCCAAGCACTTCCCCCTTTCTGGGCCCAAAGCGCCAAGAGGGAAAACCTGGGGCGGGGGGGGCAGTGCCCTTCTCCCCACTTCCCTCTTTCTTTCCACTGTCTCCTGGGTCCAGAACCAGAGTGGATGCCTCTCTTACTTTGCACACATTGCACCCTCTGCTACTGTCCAGTATCCAGGATTCCTGGACAGGAAGTGGAAAGGCCGGCTCCCAGGACCCCGGCTCTGCCTATTCTGTGCATCAGAAGTGGAAGAACACCTCGTTTTTTCTCTTGGCCTCCTTACGAAGCTGTTCCCAAGCTCCTCCTGAAATATGGAGGCTTTGAGCCAACTGGCACGATGGTCAGATCCTCAGAAAGGAAGAGAAAGGCTCGTTGATCATCTATAAAAAGCACAGTGTGGGAGCAAACCTCCCAGTCGGTACAGCTGGGAGTCCCGCAAACTAAGACCCCAGTGTGCACGGGCCTGCGGCCCATCATCCTGGCCCCCCTGTGGGTCCCCATCCCATCCCGGCCTCCCCTGGGCACCCCACCCTGTCCTGGCGCCCCCATGGGTCCCCCACCCCATCCTGGCCTCCCCATAAATCCCTCAACTTATCCTGGCCTCCCCTTGGGTCCCCCACCCTGTCCTGGCCCACCCTGTGAGCACCCCACCCTGTCTTGGTCCCCCCATGGGTCCCTCATCCCATCCTGGCCTCCCCAGGCCCCCCATCCCATCCCAGCCTTCCCTGGGCCCCCCTGCCCATCCCGGCCTCCCTGCCCACATCCCCCACCCCCGTCCCAGCCTCCCCCTGGAGCTCACTGAAGGAGCCAGGAATGGACAGCCCCCAGAGGCAGGTGTGCTCTCCATGTCCTCTGATTCCTGGGTCACCTAGGAAGAGGCGCGGTCTACGGGAGCCCCTGGGGGCCGTGCTGCGCAGGGCGCTGAGGGAGGAGCCGGAGCTGGAGGCGAGGGAGACGGCCTCCATCGCCACCGCTACCACCGACCCGGGGGCCGGAGAGCCCCGCACCGTGGACACCCGCCTGCGCAGCTGGGAGCCCAGAAGGCTCTTTGCATCCCATCCTGTGGGGGTCTCTTTCCCGCCCTCCAAGGCTCCCCACTGACTGTCATGGCCAAGACCTCACCATGCGACTCAGTTGAGAAGAGGAAGTAATTTGGTTGCTGTTGTTGTTAAGGGAGGATCTTCTGATCAGAAGGCAGGTGGGAGCTTTCAGCCCTGGTCTGTCTGACGCTATTTATCTAAATAGCCTCTACAGGTAGGTAGCACGCATCCCATTGCGTGAGACTGTCCATTCTCCCAGCCTTCTCCCTCCAAGAGGGCATCTTGGTACAGGAAGTAGGATGTAATTCGTGTGACTTCGCGACCCCTCGCTGGTCCTTGGGCATGTGCAGCTGGCCCCAGGGTGATGCCCCCGGTCCACTTCCCGCTGGGTGTCCCGCTGACCCCCTCCATTCCAGCAGGCTGCAGCCTGTCAACTGAGTTGCCACTGCTGACCGCCGATCATGAAGTGGCCCTGTCCTCCATGTGGCCAGTACCTGACCGCTGCCCTTTGTCTTCTGGTCACCTTGCCCCCTCGGCGGGTCTGATCGCTTTCCTCCATGAGGCCGCACCGGCGCTGGAGAGCCCCTGCCCGGCCTCATGGGAGTTGAGGGGACAGTTGTTGAGGGGACTGTGCCCCAGGAGCAGGGAGGCAGCTGGAGACAGCTGCCTCTCAGAGCCCCATGTGCCCAGTAGAAGGAAAGTCTGTACCCTGATTGCACCCCTCAACTTGCCCCAAGCACTTCCCCCTTTCTGGGCCCAAAGCGCCAAGAGGGAAAACCTGGGGCGGGGGGGGCAGTGCCCTTCTCCCCACTTCCCTCTTTCTTTCCACTGTCTCCTGGGTCCAGATCCAGAGTGGATGCCTCTCTTACTTTGCACACATTGCACCCTCTGCTACTGTCCAGTATCCAGGATTCCTGGACAGGAAGTGGAAAGGCTGGCTCCCAGGACCCCGGCTCTGCCTATTCTGTGCATCAGAAGTGGAAGAACACCTCGTTTTTTCTCTTGGCCTCCTTACGAAGCTGTTCCCAAGCTCCTCCTGAAAGATGGAGGCTTTGAGCCAACTGGCACGATGGTCAGATCCTCAGAAAGGAAGAGAAAGGCTCGTTGATCATCTATAAAAAGCACAGTGTGGGAGCAAACCTCCCAGTCGGTACAGCTGGGAGTCCCGCAAACTAAGACCCCAGTGTGCACGGGCCTGCGGCCCATCATCCTGGCCCCCCTGTGGGTCCCCATCCCATCCCGGCCTCCCCTGGGCACCCCACCCTGTCCTGGCGCCCCCATGGGTCCCCCACCCCATCCTGGCCTCCCCATAAATCCCTCAACTTATCCTGGCCTCCCCTTGGGTCCCCCACCCTGTCCTGGCCCACCCTGTGAGCACCCCACCCTGTCTTGGTCCCCCCATGGGTCCCTCATCCCATCCTGGCCTCCCCAGGCCCCCCATCCCATCCCAGCCTTCCCTGGGCCCCCCTGCCCATCCCGGCCTCCCTGCCCACATCCCCCACCCCCGTCCCAGCCTCCCCCTGGAGCTCACTGAAGGAGCCAGGAATGGACAGCCCCCAGAGGCAGGTGTGCTCTCCATGTCCTCTGATTCCTGGGTCACCTGCTTTCCCGTCTCAGCTCGGATCCCCAGGTCTGTGTGTCCCAGGGGAGCATGAGGGGTGGGAACTCTTCAGCAGTCATCCCAGGCGTCTTACGGAGCGCCCAGCACCAGTACTGGCCTCGCATGCCGTAAGCACTTAGTAAGCTCTCATTTGGCTCATAAGAATGACCAACACCTATGTAGTGCTGCATAGCAGTGGGGCTCAGAGAGGGCACTGTTTTATCCAGAGTCACACAGCCAGTGAATAGAAAGGCTATGACTCAGGACTTCCCTGGTAGTCCAATGGTTAAGACTCCACACTTCCACTTAAGGGGGCATGGGGTCAGTCCCTGGTCAGGAAACTAAGATCCCATATACCATGAAGCCAAAAAAAAAAAGAAAAGGAAAGAAGGAAGGCTATGATTCAACCCTGATCTTTTGACCCAAACCACATGCTCCATGCACGCCTACTCTGACCTGGACAGGGACTAAGTGGGCCGTCCAGAGCAGATGGTTGGTGATGAAGGGGACCTCACCGCTCAGGGCAAGTGGCCACCACGGGCCCCTCAGCTTCATACGGAAGAAGAGGAGCCCTAGAAATGGTTCACACCATTATATTTCCATAAAATTTACTGTACTCTACACCAGTTAAGACCACAGGCTCTCTATGCCAACTCTTCCTCCATCACTTGCCATTTCAGGCCACGTGATGCTGGCATAGCTGCAGGTATCAGGGGACCTGCCTAAGGGAAGGTTGGGCTGGTGGCACCTGCAGTGTGGGCTTCATGGGAATTTATGAGGTTCACAGCCCCCACTTCTACGTATAGTTGGGTCAGTCCAAGCCATCTCAGCAAACAAATGCCTTTCAGGGGTATTGCCACTACCCTCTGTGCCAGCTTGGCTGGTATCATGGAGAAAAATGCAGGCCCAGAGTTGTGAGGACATCTGAACGTCACCGTAAGTGAGTGGGTAGTGACTGGTGGCGAAGAAATAGGTTTGAAATACACATAACCAGAAGCTACTCTATGGGGAGGTTCTGTTCTCATGAACGCCTGGTCGGAACAACCCTCATCAAGAAATCTGCTTGAAATTGCAGCACGTATCATTGTAAAATATGCTATACATTTATCTCTAGAGGAGACATGCTAAAAAGGAATTTCTGAGACATCCTGTTTTTGTAGATACAATTATGGAGCAAAAGCACACACTGCCAAAATGTCTATGTGAAGCTGCATGTGGTGTGCATCCCAGCTATCGATATTGTAAAATAAATCTGATCGTGAGGAAAAGCCAAGTTCTCTTTCTATTTTCCCTACAGAAAATGTTACAGAAGGTCCAAGAACAAGAGCTCAGGGTCACACGGGCAGGGTGGGGGATGAACCGGCCCCATCACACACGGCTGTGCACGCTGGTTGAATCATGTGCTTAGTCGCTCAGTCGTGTCTGACTCTTTATGACCTCATGGACTGTAGCCCACCAGGCTCCTCTGTCCATGGGGATTCTCCAGGCAAGAATACTGAAGTGGGTTGCCATTTCCCCANGCCTTCTCTGAGTCTGGTTCTGAGGACCCTGTAATTTCCTACTGTCCCTCTTGGCAGGACACCTTGGTTAATCAAGGAGATCTCCACTCCAGAGAACACAGGAGTCCCCTGAGTCTCCTCCTGTTAAGTCCTCACCATCCCAGAGCCTCTGAGGGCTGGTCCCAGCACC